TTAGAGGGGCATAATTTTATTTCGATCTTTATTTCAATATTTGCGACAAAATGGTCACGTGTAATAAAATAAGTCTTGCCATATTAACTTAAGAGTGAATTGATTTGTGAAATAGGTCCACTAAAATGAGATCAAATTAATTGGCAAATTCGGAAAATTAGTAGCTTTCTACAAGAGTCTTCAATTAGCATCCAGGGCAAATACTCAATAAGCATTAGATCGCTCTTAGTGCCAATATTTTTACTTGGATTATGGGGCTCTATTTGGGAGTTTAATATACGGTAATTTGTTTGCATTATTCCGATCAATTCCAAACAAAACAATGATTTTTGCAGAAAAAACAATATCAGACCCAATTGTATTATCGGAACATAGGCTGGATATTAATTTTTTATGACTTTGAGCAGTGGAAATTAATGCATATATGTAAAAAGAGATAAAGTGCGTCTCTTTCACTGTATAAATTCGCGAATATTATATCTTTGTTCTATTATTTTCATTTATACTTTCATAAATACATAAGACTGCGAGTCGCGTGCAACGATTTTGCCCCGCCAATGGAACAGTTACAAACGGGTTATTGCGTTAGTAAGCCACAGGACCAGCATGTCGGTATGAATCAATTTCGGATTGGTAAGTATAACAAAAATGTTCCTTTAGTCTTGCTTTAGTTTCTGTTTTGAGATCCACTTCATTATTGAACAGATGCGATGTAAACCGTATATCAAGTAAACAAAATCAGGAAACGTTCAGTTTTACGGACGTAATGAAGGTTTAACTGTTGCAAATTGAATTACTGTAAGACGAATATTTGAAAAAGTAAAGCCACAAATCAGACCTCAACAAGAATATGTGTGTTATTTTGATTATTTGATAGTCAAAATCGCTACGATGCCTACAGAGTGGCAGTTTATATTGATGGCTAGCACTGTAGCATCATGCTGCACCCAGTCACATTCACCTGACTCCATGCCGAACCTCTCAAAGCCTAAATGCAAATCAAGGCAACCACCAGTACCACTTTTATTAGAATTTGGCATGACTCAACCGGGATTCGAACCCGCGACCACCCGCATCTGGGGCAGGGGCTTAAACCACATAGGTCACTGAATAGGATTGCCTAAACTCGTTTGATTCATTCAATGTTTATTGAGCTAGATAAAAGAAGTTCTAATGTCAGTATTTCAATTTAGTAATTATAATGCAACCAGAATCTTTTCAAATCGATTGTGCTGATATATAAAATACATTGCATCAGTAGTGTAGCCAATTGACCAGTTAAAACAACACTTTCTTGCTCACAAAGTTATTAAAATGTATAATAATATGAACAAATAATTGCTAACTCAATGATCTGTAAATCAATAAATACAAAAACAATAATTCAAGTTCTGCGTGTAAATGAACAAAATCACAGCTTATTTTCATTGCTTTTTTTAGGTACATTTGCATGATAGTAATTATCATCTGCGGAGGCAAGTTCAACTTTAATCAATTCAAGTCATATTCAGTGCAGGAATTTGTTGCTTTCGCAATGTTTCTGTTTTACATGCAATACATGTCTAGCATTCTGGAATGTGAAGTCCTTCGGATCTTATCTTCTTTATGCAAGTCATTATAAATATAGAAAAGAGTTACACAGTAAATATCGAAATGATTACAACTTTCTCAGCAAGAAAGGTGGTAATCAAGTTTATTAGCCGTACCACGATTAAACGCCCACTGAGTTGACTCCATACCATCATTATATGAATATGATAGATATCAAATAGGCAGATCATACCTCACGGTCAGTTTCCCTAAATATATCTATAATTCAAGGAGGGGTTTTAATAAGCTACCTGATGACTAATGGATTAGCACTTTGATGGTATTCATTAGCGCAAAATAACACAAACAGCCGTCGTCCTTTGAATGACAAAGAAGAAAATCGCTGGTAATTTGTGTAAAAGTTCATTGTTTTAGAGGAAATAAATTGTGCAGAGGTTGTTTGGGAAACATTAAGTCTGTTTTTTAATTTATCAAGACACAAAATCTGAGATTATTAAATCCGACATCACTTGCTAAAGGACAAGATCAGATATATTTGTCTCGGCTCAGAGGCATACATAAATATATTAGCTGCTAACAGCAGCCCTACTGTTCTTGGTACGTGCTATAGAAAGTAAAATCACCTACACAAGCTAGAGCCCTTGGCATATCAGACAATTAAGAAAGTCAAAGGTTACAGGCAAAGTATTTAATCCAAACCAAATAGAAAGGCTGAGAAGTGAAGACAAAATGGGCAGATACAACATCAGAACCAACACAAGATGGGTATGTACATATATATTTACTGAATTACTAATTTGCTTTACAAGTGATTGATATGACCTATATTTAAAATTTCTGAACTATATATATATATATATATATATATATATATATATATATATATATATATATATATATATATATTGTTAAAACTGGCCAAACATGGATCATCCCACAGGGACGATTGCTACAATCTAAAATCAAGCACGCTTTTTCATTTTTGAGTCTTACAAATATATAAATTTCTTAATTACCTTTGCTTCTCATACTGGTACCAAATTATTAAAAAGCTGTGATGATGATGATGTATAAATATATATATATATATATATATATATATATATATATATATATATATATATATATATATATATACATATATATAGATGCAATAAACTGACGACGAACAGTACGAAACTAGTAACTAACTAGCCTAAGCGCTTTCGACTCTTAATGAGTCTTTTTCAAAGGCAAATACAAAACATAGTTACGACAAATAAATAAACACAAAAACGTAAAATGTAGAGGTTTACAAACACAACTTTTTTGTAAAATGTAGAGGTTTACAAACACAACGTTTTTGTGTTTATTTGTTTGTCGTAACTATGTTTTGTATTTGCCTTTGAAAAAGACTCATTAAGAGTCGAAAGCGCTTAGGCTAGTTAGTTACTAGTTTCGTACTGTTCGTCTTCAGTTTATTGCATCTATTTTAATTAATCCCTGACAAACGTGATCCCTTGGTGGATCCAGTACGCTTGAGAGGGTTGTTATTCGCCATATGATTTGTATTCTTTAGATATATATATATATATATATATATATATATATATATATATATATATATATATATGTGTGTGTGTGTGTGTGTGTGTGTGTGTGTGTGTGTGTGTGTGTGTGTGTGTAAGTATGTATGTATAAAGCAACAAATTAGATTGACACATGTATAACCAAATGGCGTTGTCCTAATCATAACCATTTCTGTACGAATTGAATTTTGCTGCATAAGTGACCCCACCAAACGTCCTTTCTTGACATTACCGTTAGTTATTAAATAGAATCAGGTGAATTGTTCCAATAATTGTGCCTTTCTTAACACACCTGGCACTGCAACAAAATTTTAACGCCTTTTTATGCAACTATTAAAAGCATAGTGATCTACACAAGATGTTGCCGACCACATTCGAGTTTCACAACTGTGCACAAGCGTTGATTTGGAAAAATTATTAGGCTTCTAAAGTCGATGTTTGAACCATCTATATCGCCAAATTTCTTCAGAACAAATTATAATTAAAATTAAAAATTATAATACAGGCTAAATTACATGTAAAAGGATGTAATACGACATAAACATAGCATGCCTATGTAACGGACAGGCGACGGCTTATTTGTACGCTTAATAACCCTTTTACGCAAGATGAAAAAGTTCCATTAATTAATTGCAAAAATAATAGTTCTTATTTAAAGGTTTAAAGTAACAAAGTGTCATAAGATAAGGCATTGTTATGGAAGATTACAATTGTTCATGAGACATCGAAAGATCACACCAGACAATCCTAGTCTCGTGACATTTTACTAATAACACATACACGTTTGAAATGATAAAGATAGCTAGGACAATATAATATATAATAGATGAGCGTGTACTCGATGCGACATAGTGAAGCTGGTTTGGAACATTGTCTATTATCAGCTGATTGAAAGGAATTTAAAGTAGCTTTCATTTCTTTATGTAAACAAACTACGTGCACAAACATACAAACCCAGCACAACTTTGCTCATAATTCTAAGCTATTATTGAACATAATATTGCACTTACTATTTTAATTGGCAGTGCCTCGCAATGAGGATGCATTTTTCTGAAAACCACCCGCTAAAAAAGAGACCCCGACTTTTATTTTCCCCGTATTAAAATTCAAACAAATCTTACAAGACCAAGATTTTCAGCATTATCAATGACGTTAAAATTAGTAGGTACCAAACCGAACTATGTTTGCAACGGATACCATGAACAAAGCGGTCTTGTTTTTAAACTCTCATTGGCAGATTTCAATTGATGCTGCATGCTGCATCGTACGTACGTACGTAAGGTAAGACATAAATAAGAACAAAAATTTACTACAAAGCTAATAAAGGTAAATATTTCAAATGACATCAAATAAATCTTAAATGCTCATCAAATATATGAAAGAGCCACTCACCGCAGAAACACTTTGCACTTGCGAATAAACGCACACTTGTCTCCATGCAAATCATTTCCATAATGGCAAACCTTTTGGTCTTGTAATCGCATATTCCTCAGATTTAATTTTGAGATGTACTTAGTCCGTGCAGTATAGTTTAGTCCGTGCTCACATCCGAAGCCACGCTCGTTCCTAATATGCTTTACTTGTTCGGTTTAACAATTATCTATTGTTAACGGTTTCAAAGATTTGACAGTTGTTAAATTGTGATTTGGATTTTTAACGTAGCCTTAACAATTGTTCAATCATATCGCTACTATGTCTGTATTGTAGCATTTATAGTGATGTCTAGCAATGGGGCATCATGCTTCAGACATGATGAATGATGTCTCATCCATGTACATTATCCTGACACCGGGCCGACTAGTCCTAACACTAAAACCTCTTAATGATGAGCGCCTAGCGAGGAAGCTGTTAGTGTAGTACCATTTTATAAGTATTTGGTATTACTCTGCCGGTGTTCGAATCCGCGAAATCCCGCTTCCAAAGTGGATGCTCTTACCACTGTGCCACTAGAGCTGTCTAACGGCTTGACAGATCATAGACAGTATGGTTATTGTAACTATAAGACGCAAGCTTAAACGCTATTATCATGTTCAAAGTTTCTTGAGTAGGAAACCAGTTCATAAATCTCAAAGTACATCTGCTCCACCTAACGGACCGACATGAGTTAGGAGCATTCTCAGTTAGCTAATCAGGTCTACTGGTCTTTGGTTATGATCACTTAATATCGATTTATCGAATGAACAATGTAGATCTGTGGTATATACAATATTTCACCAACAACTACAACGGAGACACAAAATATATATTTAACACTTTTAGCCAAGATAAATCTTAATGATGTGCATATGTATTTATGTATATCAAAAACATTTTGTAAAATAATTTCATTTAATGAGCTATACATAAAACATAAAATCTGCATATATACCCCATCTTGCATAAGGTCGTTGAAGAATTTTTAATTTGAGCTCCCAGTAAGAAGAAAGCCAGAACTACTTATTGGTCTCAAAATATCTTTTCTTCAAAGGTTAATAGCTGACATAACAACCTGTAGTAAAGAAACAGTAAACCAAATATTGCCTTTTCGTCAGGGCTTATACAGCTCCATAAACCTAAGTTTATCTGCAAAAAATGCCATCTGATAGAAAGTCTCCCACATTAAGTTAATAGTTTATTCATGAGTTATAATTTTTAATGCTAATATTAGTTGCAAATTGCATTATATATATATATATATATATATATATATATATATATATATATATATATATATATATATATATATATATATATATATATATATATATATATAGATGCAATAAACTGACGACGAACAGTACGAAACTAGTAACTAACTAGCCTAAGCGCTTTCGACTCTTAATGAGTCTTTTTCAAAGGCAAATACAAAACATAGTTACGACAAACAAATAAACACAAAAACGTTGCGTTTGTAAACCTCTACATTTCTATCTTCACATGTGCTAAAACTATAAATACAACCAGCTTGTATAGACTAGTTGCGGTTTCCGCAACTAGTCTATACAAGCTGGTTGTATTTATAGTTTTAGCACATGTGAAGATAGAAATGTAGAGGTTTACAAACGCAACGTTTTTGTGTTTATTTGTTTGTCGTAACTATGTTTTGTATTTGCCTTTGAAAAAGACTCATTAAGAGTCGAAAGCGCTTAGGCTAGTTAGTTACTAGTTTCGTACTGTTCGTCGTCAGTTTATTGCATCTATTTTAATTAATCCCTGACAAACGTGATCCCTTGGTGGATCCAGTACGCTTGAGAGGGTTGTTATTCGCCATATGATTTGTATTCTTTATATATATATATATATATATATATATATATATATATATATATATATATATATATATATATATATATATATATATATAAGTTTTATATTTTGTAATTTTCAGATAATTGTGTCTGTCCTAATGACTGTCTTATATTATCAAGTATCTACCAATGACTTTAGTAGAATGTGTCGCTATCCGACATTTACTCATCTCAGAAGTAGTCTCACAGACGGGCGCACTCACGTCAATTCGGAATCCTGGCATTGTCATCAAGAAATGGTATGGCGAGACCTCGGACCAAATTTCTACCCTCGATTCATAGCAGATATGAGGTGTTTAAATACAACCTGCTTTCATGCCAATTACTTTTGCAAATCTGTTAGTGTGTATGTGAAAGTGCTTATGAAAGCTGAAGCATCCATTTGCGTCGATATCTTCATGCCAAGCGAGTTGAGAAGTAAATGGACTTTCCAGGACATTCTTGTATCGGTGTATTGCCAGTGCGGTAGAGCATAGAATCGTAATGATGATGTTCCCATTGTTGTGCTGACTTAAACGGTATTGTAAGATTATGCGTACTGTTGAAACTTTAACAAATAATAAAAAAAACTGTTTAAACCTTTTTCATTGGCATTTTTTCTATATAAACGAGAGGTAATAATGAACCAACACTGTATCTATAGTTGCATAGGATTGTTTGAAAACACGAACAACATCCAGAGAGAGAGAGAGAGAGAGAGAGAGAGGGGGGGGGGAGGGATGATGAGATTTTTGAAATGGCTATTTTATCCCACCATTGGTGTTTTCATATTCTACGGATTCTTAACTCACAAGACAAATACACCAATAAATATTCGCACACAAACAGATCATTAACGAAGTAAAGCAGACCCAAACACCTTGAACTAAACGCTTCAATAGCTTGCGAGTGTGATGGATTAGTAATGACTGATGACCATTCAAAGAAGCAATTATACAAAAACATTCAAGGTAGGTAGCATAGGAGAGATGACGTGTCAAAATCCGAGAATGAAGACATATATATCGAGCAAAGACCACCTGATGTATTTGAACAAAGTAAACACAAAAAAATTATTTACTGAACACCATCCTAAGTTAATATTCAGCAAAGCTTTAAATGTTATAATTTCTAATGTGAATATTTTTGCCCAAGATAGTCTCATGACGTTTAAATGATATACGTGGCACCCTTGTACAGCGACACCACACCTTTCCCTGTACAAACAAAAACGTACATACGTCCAATTTAATGTGGTAAGAAAGATTCTAAAATATTCTAGCTCAAAGAAAAAGACAACCAACACTTTCCATATATAAAATGGTACATGTTTAACTGTACTGATTGAGTGACCTAAGTGGCACTCAACAGCTGTCCAAATTAGTTAGTGCTTAATAGTGAGACAAACTGGAACATAACATTTTTCAATTTAGCTTCAACATGTGTATTGCCAAAATGACTCTTGTCAGCAAGCCAGTTATTTTAAACGTGTTTGGAACAAATCCTAAATACAACTGCACTATGAAAGGAGCAAAACCCAAGTAATCATATAATTAAGTTACCCAAGAGCGTAAATAATCACGCCTACATATCGTTATAGTATTTCGTTATTGGTCAAGGATTCTTTCTTGAAAATACTATCGCTTTGATGGTTGAATATTCTGTCTTGGAAATTATATCACTTAATGAAAAATGCGAATTCTTAGTTCACAATAGATAGCAAACTTTTCACGAGAAGTGGATGATGCTAACGTTGTAACAGCTGAATTTGTACAGATTATAACGAGAACAATACCTAGATGTCAGATCATCAGTGAATCATACATCTTCAATGAAAATTAACATTAATAAACCAGGCGTAATTAAATAATGAATCACACATATCCCGGCCCTAGATTGATACATTTGAATTAATAGATTCACTCCTGTCAGTCAAATGACAATTTAATCTAAAGGAAAAGTGTGGTGGAATTTAGCTAAATGCTGACAGTTTAGATACTTTATTTCATATTGTCAAGCAATTTAATTTGCTTTCATTGATTGATTATGTTGATATGGATGGCACCTTTCCACCCATTCTCTAAATGCTGAATGAAATGTGATTGGGATACTTGTAAGTAGGGAGGGAAATGTAATGGAAGACACCAGACACCGCATATGCCGATTCCCGAAACAATTTTGTTTATCACAAGTTGCTGTTGTTTTTCTTCTTATTATTTCCTTTCTCAGTTGTAGTAGTAGTAGTGGTAGTAGTAATAGTAGTAGTAGTAGTAGTAGTAGTAGTAGTAGTGTTATTATTAGCATTGTTATTGTTGCTCTTAAAGATAATAAGCATTATAAAGTGTTACACCCCCTCTCTTGTGTTTTAATATAATAATGAGCATATCTGTCACGTCTCCTAACACAAAACCCCTTCTGCAGTCCCCGTGACATTTTCACCATACGCCTAATTGACAGCTTTGCTCGACAGGGATAGGAGATTCGTGACAGATAAACATTATGTGATACACGACCATAATGGTAATACTTAGTCCCTAACCCAGAACCTCGCAACGTTTCCAAAGTGCATCTGTGATTCTAGCAAGCTAAGTTCTCAAGAATGAGTGTGCACGCAGATCGATATATGCTAAGAAACGTCCTGTAAATCAGTTGCTTGTTTTGGGTAGTCATTACCCCGGTTACATGACTGTGCCTGCAAATGTAAATGGATTTCTCATTCAACTAGTAATATCTCGAAAACGGCAATACTAATTGTTTAATTTTCCATAGTACAGTCGATTACTATACACCGATTGGTGCAACCATCGATGTAGTAACAATTCCCGCTACATCAAAGGCAAGCAATGTCTTTTGCAGCAAGTCAAAAAATAGCACCCACATGAAAAAAATGCTTACATTTCGCTATTTAACACTGCTTTCTTGGAAATTCCATTTTACAGTTGCTTTTATAATATTTTCCTGTGTCAGTCGTTTAAAAATCTATCAACAATTTTGTTGTTGATATTGTATTAGGGGAAGTTACTTGTTCGACAGAATTGCCTTCTACAAACACAACACACAGCCACTTGCAAACCGGCATTTGTTTTCACTGGTATGCAATGATGGAAACATATATTTCAGGAAAATATGTTCTGGGGGCTTGCCACCACGTGTACACCTCAAACTTCATCGATTATAAAGTTGCTTTATTTCTCCAGCAATCGCTTCTACTCAAGAACTGTTGCATGGTCAAGTGTGTCCGTTTGTCTTTCTTTTAGCCGAATCAGTTTGATTTGACATAATTGACAGAGAATGTAACTGGTATGGACTCTTCTGTCGTAGCTGTAAAACACTCTTTAATGTTTTTGCATGTTTTCCAGCTTCACAAGACCAGTTATTTTTGAGTGCTAACGCAATTATTTCAAGAGTTATTATAAACTATTTTATGGCTTCAGCAGTAAATTGAAAATCCGTTTGGCTCGAAATTGCTCAAGTCGGAAATCAATTACACCTACATGATATTTGTATGACTTTCCCAAACCACTAAATTAGGAACATTTTTAGCTTGCAGCAGGCAAAGAAATGTTTTATTCATAATTTCTGTAATCAACACTTATTACACTTACTTTCAGGGATGTGAAATTTGGAGTTAAAAGCAATCTCACCCTTTTGTACTAGAACATGTCTACCATTTCAATCTCTGCTAAA